TACTACCTCCATGGCACATCCACTACCTCCATGGCACCTCCACTACCTCCATGGCACCTCTACCTCCATGGCACCTCCTCTACCTCCACTACCTCCATGGCACCTCCACTACCTCCATGGCACCTCCACTACCTCCATGGCACCTCCACTACCTCCATGGCACCTCCACTACCTCCATGGCACCTCCACTACCTCCATGGCACCTCCACTACCTCCATGGCACCTCCACTACCTCCATGGCACCTCCACTACCTTCACGACATCTCCACTACTTTAACTTTTTTTATGAAACATTGAAAATCCTTGCCTCACATCCATACAAGAATTAGTACTATACTCTGGTAAATTCCCTTTAGTAGTCATTAACAAACTTTTCTTTCCACAAGCAGGGGTGTCACTAGCATGTTAAGAGACAATACAATAAGTGTCAGGGGCCCGAGACTGTTCAACTGCCTCCCAGCATACATAAGGGGGATTACCAATAGACCCCTGGCTGTCTTCAAGCAGGCACTGGACAATCACCTAAAGTCGGTACCTGACCAGCCGGGCTGTGGCTCGTACGTTGGATTGCGTACAGCCAGCAGTAACAGCCTGGTTGATCAGGCTCTGATCCACCATGAGTCCTGGTCACAGACCGGGCCGCGGAGGCATTGACCCCCGGACCTCTCTCCAGGTAAACTCTAAACACTCCACCCACATTTTTCCCCTTAACTAGTCCATATACATTTTTTATGACAGTCGTCGTCGACAACAGTAAGATAACCCAGAGAATGGAACACTTTCACTGTCACTTGTTCAGTACCTGTCTTGCCTGAATTGCACAGACGTCACTAGTCAAATGACTGACAAACAGCATCCCATGGCTCGGTTGGCAATGCTCTCGCCTCACCCATGCTGTGGTTTGAATCCTGGCATGGGTGGAAACGTCGGGCATATTTTCTTACACCTGCTGCCCCTGTTCACCTAGCAATACGTTGGTACCTGGGTGTTAGTAGACTGGTGTGGGTCGCATCCTGGGGGGGGATGTGGATGGTATTCAGGCTTAATTCGGGGAACTGGAGCACAGATCCAATTCCCTAAATCAAGAGCCCCTCACCAACATCAATGAACCTTCCTTGAGGGGTGGTTTTATTATAATTATTAATTTTATGTCAGGTCTAGCTTTTGGCGAGTGGTGAAGAAGTAGGCAGTCGAAGGAGGTGCAGTTTATTGACCTACTTGAATAAGTCCCACTTACCTCACCCAAATTACTTGCAGGTAATAATTCAGGTAATGCCCTGTAAATCTCCTGCAGGTGATTTGCTCACATAATATAGTTATCTGTTTACAATAATGTCTTATCACTGATTTCATCATTGCTTAGTTAATCTTAAGTTAATTTTAAGCCAGCCCGTAATGCTATGCATATAAGTGGCTTTGGCATGCTGCTCTTACCTGTATTTTTTTGTACCTCTGTATGTATGCTTAAATAAATAAAAATAAATAAAAATAAATAAAAATAAATAAAATAAATAAAAATAAATAAATAAAAATAAATAAATAAAAATAAATTAACATAAATAAATAATAAATTAAAATATAATAAATAAAAAAACTTAATAAATAAATAATAAAAATAAATTAATTAAATAAAAATAAATAAATAAAAATAAATTAAAAATAAATAAAAAATATAAAAAATAAAAATAATAAAAATAAATTAAAAATAAACAAAAATAAATAAAATAATAAAAATAAATAAATAAATAAATAAAATAAATAAAAATAAATAAAATAAAAAATAATAAAATAAATAAAATAAATAAATAAAACTAATCATAATCAAAAATAAAATAAATAATAATAATAATAATATAATAATTCTAATACTAAACTAATAATAATATTTTTTTCACTATCAGAGAAGTGAAGCTATATCCCATAAATAGTCTTCCTGCAGTTTCTTATGAAGATAAAATCCTCAGTCTCAGAAACTGATTCTGTAATACTAGACTCACGGTAATATTCAGGGCAATTGACCATCATATTAACTTTACCGATGAGGGCTCGTTGACCCCGGTCATGCACCACTTGAGCCAAGACTTTAGAAGCCTCAAGGTGTAAAGTGGCATAATAAGCAGCTGTCGTGGTGCCATTCTTCAGAAGCCGCTCCTGTAAATTCCATACTATTACTTTCAACACTTTGATGCTACTGATGAGTATTATTCCGATATAAGGTACACATAGTATACTTTTGTACAAATGAGGTATTGCGAGTAGTATGGGTGAGTTTTATACATGAATTTTCATCAAAAATGCCTTAAATCACTATTTAAGTACTTAAAAATATTATATACAGTAGACCACCACCTTAAGCAAGATGATTTACGTTCATGCATACACAAGTACAATTATCATACCAAGTAACACGTGTAAGTTACCTAAAATAACCCAAAAAAGTCAGTGACTTATTTCCATTAGGGTCCTTTATCTACTTGCGTATTTAATCTATTTCCACCTTTAGCGGCAGCTCTATCCATTTCCATCTCTCGGTCCAACATGTCCAACCAGCCATCATAAAAGCACAAGTGAACCAATTTGCTTTCCCAGGTGCCTCAAGGTTCTTGTTCCATGGTAGACCTAGCTCACCCCCCAGCCTCCCCCTCACCCACCCACACCACAAGTTGCCTTGTAGACAAGTACCATATACTATTTCCATCGTACTATTGCTCAATTTCCGATTTATCACCCCATGTTATGTCTGGCATATTAAAGTAAATCTAGTGCAGTTAAGCAGAGTTGTGTATCGAACGTACGACCAGACTGGACAGCCGTTTGATATAGCGAATTTGGTCCACTTCATGACTATTTCAGACATCCCATTATACTTACATGTTGAACCTTCGTCTGTTCAGGTTTTTTGTCAGTTTTAACCGATATCCGCTTTATGAGGGTTCGTTTTGTACAAGATTTATTGTATACAGTGTTTTAAGGCATTTGTGTTATTAAGGTTCACCTGTGGAGTCTGCCCGTACTATACACAATGTCTCATACACATATCAAAAATTTAAACAAAATTAACACTGACCACAACTTTGGGATACACACACTGCGCCACTTTCACATCAGAGAACATGGCCTCGGTGGGGAAGGTGTATGTATTCAGCCAATCCAGCAATGACAAATCTAATTTAATTCCATTGTTAGGGAACTGTGAGGCATGTATGTGTGTATCCACCATTCCTGGCATCATAAACTGACTGAAAATAAAATTTATTTAAAAATTAAAATGGCTGTGCCTAGGGATATGCAAGTTAAATTTCAGGGAAAGTTTTATTATACAAATGGCAAAGCACTGTACCTGTATGGATCATGTGGAAATTTGTCTGGACTGCCTCCATGTGAGTTGCCTACCCAACCAAGCTCTGTTGACACCCCCCTCAAGGAAGGTTCCTTGATGTTGGTGAGGGGCTCTTGATTTAGGGAATTGGATCTGTGCTCCAGTTCCCCGAATTAAGCCTGAATGCCTTCCACATCCCCCCCAGGCGCTGTATAATCCTCCGGGTTTAGCGCTTCCCCCTTGATTATAATAATAATAATCTGTTGACACCGAGCCCTGAGGCTGGTACCTCAGCCTCACAAGTGGCTTATATGACATTTCCATAAATGACTGATGTTGCAAAAAATCTCGCCTGCACGCACGATTACACTAGAATTTGTTCATGATTGTAGCCATGTATAAACGTAAGTAACCATTCTTACAGAATTCATTACCTTTGTAACTTGTGAGCTCATTACCTTTGTACCTAGTTCAGCTATCAAAACTTTGGGGGCCCAGTCCCTGGACCCATTACGTACCTCTGTAATCTGTAAATACCTTTGTAACTTGTCATGATTGTGACCAGACCTACCTGGAGTTCATTACCTTTGTAAATTGCGAGTTCATTACCTCTGTAACTTGCTCAGCTATCAAAACCTTTGGAGTCAGTCCTGACCAATTATGTAAACTTTGACTTTCCCCGCCCCCAGGATGGGTATGGTGTGCATAAAAACATATTTAAAATAAACTAACCTGCATGCACGAAAAAGACTAACTTAGTTGGTGTTGGAGAATATATCCCGGATTCAACCTCCCTAAGCTTTAGCCCCTCTGGACTTTCCCTTCAGAACCACGTGCAACCGGGAACCTTAATTCCTACAATATTCAGTTGGTATTAGTGACCTGCCTGCACCTCAGAAATTCCTGATTCCAAGGGGGTGTGTATCACCTAGTATAACTATGCAGGAAGTGACACTACCTTCTAAGTGCAACGAGGGGACGCCGGTATGTACTTTTCTTCCGCCGTCTGACTGCACAAAGACCTACAGCTCAACTCACTCGCAATTTCCCCCCAGAAACTGGCCAGAATACTGAGAAAGAAAGGGAAGTCTTGTCTTACTGTATGGGCCTGACGGAGGAGGGCATCTACGGTACTTCGAAGTGCCTCCACCAAATTTCCCCAGGTCTAGTATGTGAAGATGCGTGGGGAAGGGGCGCCGCCCAGCTGTTCACGGCACTTGCTATTCCGATGGTGGTGCAAGAAAGGTATAAAATACCGACAATATGAAAGTTAAGACACATGTGCAACATCTGGATATCTTTATTGTAGTAGACGTTTCGCCATCCAGTGGCTTTATTTGTATTGATAAAGCCACTGGTGTGAAAACGTCTACTACACTATAATAATATCCAGATGTTGCACATGTGTCTTAACTTTCATATTCCGATGGTGTTTGATCTTAGAAGGAAGCTCTGGCGTCTTCGAGACCCACATCTTGTCGTTCAAGCTTGGGCTGCCAGTTCTCCCTAGCTAACGTAACCCAGTGTCTGCCTATATTACCGGCCTATTACTACCTACGTTAAAGTCTTAGGTCTACATTATTATTATCAACAGTTGCCTCAATAATCCTAATATTAGTTTACTAACAGTATAAACTACCTACCTCTTCCTCAAAGGGTAAATCTATCAATTAAAATGTACCTTCCAACCACCTTCGCCACCCGGGTGTACGTGTGTGTTTTGGGTAGATGTAAGGGCCCGCCAACTCAGACGTTCCATCCGTGACATGTTAGGGCCTTCATACGGCGTATTTGCCTTTTGGAACTTCGGGGCCAAATAAGTTTCCACAGATAATAAAGTGAATGGGGAATTTGAGGCAATCAGGTTTAACAATCATTATTAGTAAGGTGTCCCGTAGCTCGATCTCTAGCACACTCAGCTCACACACTGAGGTCCGGAGTTCGAATCTCCTCCGGCACGGCTGCAAAACATTAGGGACGTGTTTCCATAAGACACCTGCTGTCCCTGGTCATCCATCAATTTATTAAAATGGGTACCTGGGTGTTAGTTGACTGGTGTGGGTTGCATCCTAGGACAAAACTGACCTAATTTACCCTGAATGCTGAACATAACAAGTCACTTTCTATATAGTATTATGTTATTGATGTTAGCTATGGTCTGTATAACATATACTTGTAGTAAATAAAGATATTATTCAAGTAAATTTCCATTACGAAACAAAATGTGGTTGTTCATCGTCTCTTGAGGTTAATAATGACGTGTTAAATCAGTGGTGAGGCAAAGAAAAAACATGGCAGAGCCAGATTAAGATTGTCTAAGATTTCGTTCGGATTTTTAACCCCGGAGGGCTAGCCACCCAGGATAACCCAAGAAAGTCAGTGAGTCATCGAGGACTGTAACTTATTTCCATTGGGGTCCTTAATCTTGTCCCCCAGGATGCGACCCACACCAGTCGACTAACACCCAGGTACCAGGTACCTATTTGCTGCTAGGTGAACAGGACAATAGGTGTAAGGAAACGTGTCGAAATGTTTCCACCCGCCGGGAATCGAACCCGGGCCCTCCGTGTGTGAAGCGGGAGCTTTAGCCACCAGGCCACCTATCTAGTCCCTCTATAGGTACTGTCAGGCCCCCAGTGATATTTTCAAAAGGGAAAAAATTAGTCAAAACAGTTTATCATATAAGTGATGTAATAACATAATTATAAACTTAAACAGTAACTGTCAACACTTTTCACTTAATCTTTGGAGGTCTCCAGCTGGGGGAGGCCCCTGGGCAGCAGCCCCTGAAACCCATGTCTTAATCCGCCCCTGAGCATGGGACAAGGGGGTAATATGGCAAGATCTTTCCTGTGTCGGTTTAAAAAAAAATACTTCTTTTTAACATTTTAGAAGATAAACTTTAATTTCTTAAGGCTTTTCAATTTTATATATATATATATATATATATATATATATATATATATATATATATATATATATATATATATATATATATATATAT